TGTCTCTAAGTGTAGCCCTGTGATAGACTGGTTACCTGTCCAGGTGAACCTGCCTTCACCCTGAGTCAGCTGGGATAGGCTCCGCCCCCCATGACCCTGGTGAGGACTAAGGTGTAGAGATGATGGATGGATGTTGTCCTGATAGATTTTTCCTATTTTCAGCACAAACTCAGCAATAAATCTGATTTTTAAAACTATTTTTGTTGAAGGAGAGACCTCAGAAAAAGACATTAATATGATCTTCTGTAACTGGAAAAAAAAGGTGTGTGTTAATGGGAGATAAGTAAATATTCAAATGCATACATGAGCTCTATAATGTTGCTAAATCCTCTTTCAAGGTCCTCTGCTTCTGTCTGTATTTACCAGTCAGAGTTTTTCTGCCACTTCTGACTATTGATTACTCTGATCAACAACAAGCTCATCACTCAAAGCTGCAGAACATTTCAACATTATAGAGCTGAAGTGTTACTGCTGCTTCACAGAATAGAATAATTACACTTCAAAGTATACCACAGTGCTGTTGAATGCACAGTGACAGCATCTTAGATTGGTTTTGTGGTGTTTTCAGTCCATGCATACCACCGTAAAACCCCACAGCTATTAATGAGTACGTTTCAGAAGTTAATTTCTAATTACATGACAGCCTACAAACGTTTGTAAAAGAGCACGTCAGCACTTCTCTCTGTTTGATATGTGAACACATCTCTGTTTCTTTTCTTCACAACCTTTTTATGCTTTAACACTTCATTCTGAGCATTTTTCTGAAATGTTCTGTATTCTGAATGTAGAGAGTAAAACACACAATCATGCAAATCAGAGGGATATTGTATTTTTGCGAGGCGCCCTCCCACACACAGGTGGCCCAGAGCCGCTGGTGGCGCTGAGACGTGGACAGCTCATTACGATCTTTGTAGCCACCCACAGGAGCAAAACAACATCAACAATGAACTCTAATGAGGCATGTTGGTGTTTTGTCAGCCGCCACAGTCTCTGTGAAAGGAGGATATAATATGCACAGAAAAAAAAGGGAAACCAGCTCACTCATAAAACTCTGTCCCTGCTGTGGGAGACGAGAGCCGCTCCAGTTTCTGTACAGGTTTGTTGTTAATTTGTGAAATCACACAAAATACGAGCTGGGGAGTTTTTAGAATGCAGATGTCTGAAATACAGTCAAACATATTCAAATGAGCTCAGCGAGCTGTCCCACCAGGAAGCGCGATGAGGAGGAATATGAAACGACTCTTTTGCTAGCGCTGGCTTTGGAGACCAGCGGTCGCAGAAGGCTGCCAGCCAGCCAGCCGCTGCCAAGGCAATTTGAGGAGGCTCCAGAAACGTCACATTTCGATCCCAAAAGGCCTCGAATCAGATGAAAGGACGGGTGAGTCTGTAAAACTCCCAGGCAATCCCGAGAGAGGAAAGAGAGGGAGAGAGCTCGGCTACATTTCAATTACACCAATGCCAGATAAATACACAACACGGCGCCGTGGAGGCACAGAAGCCTGCACTGAACCCAAAGCAGGGGGCATCTCCTGCACTCAGGATGAGAGCCGCTGATGTTGAAGCTTTGCAAAAACATGCCACGGCAAAGTTAACTGCAGGTTTGTTCAAATGCAGAGATTTGGACAGATCAATTATAGCTACGAGGAGTTTGCTTTGCATAGAAATAAGTGAACCTCGCTCCGTACCTGACAGCATCAGCGCAGGCCTGTAATTTTCTTGTTTGGCTCTTTGTGCTCACTGTCTCCTGGAGGATCCAATCCACCCGCTGATTGTACGACGAAATACCCTCGAGAAATTGGACATTCTTTCCCCCCCACGGGGATGCAACTGTCAG